ATATATATATATATATATATATATATATATAATTTGTATAATTAGATTTATATTCCGAATATATTTGTCAAACTCACGAATCGAATACCCTTGATTCATATTCGTATTCGATAAGGATTCGAATATATATTCAGATTCGTATTCGTATTCGGATTTGAAAAAATCGAATACGAATCACCTTAAACGAATACGAATCACGAATTGAACAAAAAATATTCGATTCATTCACAACCCTACTCCGGGTATATTAAAAAATTAGACTAAAATTTTACCAAATGGGTGGCAACACAATAAATAATGCATAAGAGGTCTCATTTTGAAACTTTCCAATCTTTTCTCCATAATTTACAAATCAGGCTTCAATCATTTTTTTAGTACTCCCTCTTTCCCGAAGTATTTGTCTATTTTTGACTTTTTTGGTCAAAATTGGTAAACTTTGATTTCAAATTAAATATAAATGATATTAGATATTGATACAAAAATAGTTTTATTATATTTATTATATCAAATATTTTCAAAATATTATTTTTTCTAATTAATATACAATTTATATTTTATTTAATTACAAATCAAAAGTTGAAAATAATTTACTGGAAAAAAAGGTGGACAAATACTCAGGGGTGGAGTTAGTAGTACTCCTCCGTTTGAGAATAATCCTCTCATTTAACTTTTTTGGTCAAAATTTCTAAGCTTTGACTTCGATATATAAAATATACATTGTATTTCAATATAAATATAATATCACTAGTTTCATTATAGAACATAGTTTTGAAATATAAATATTAATGATCAAAGAGTTACATTTGAAATCATGAAAAAAAGTCAAATAAAAAAATCATAGTATTATTTATTTGATGAAGTAATAAATAATTTTGGCACCTTCTTTTTTTCTTGGCACCTTATTTTCAATGATTTTAAAAATAGTTTATGCTATAAAGATTGTCTAAATATTGACGTAAGGCAACTTAAAAATGTTATCCAAAGTCATAAAGTAAAATGTGGGACGTAACGTAAGGCATGGAGGTAAAATAACGTGACATGGTCAATAGACATAGTGGAGTATTTTCCGGGGAGCTTTTTCAAAAAAAAAAAAATCAGTTTTACCTTACTTTCGGCCTGATAAAAGCTAGTGCTTGCAATTTTTGTACGATGTACTACGTAAAAAAGAAAAATGTTAGGGATACACGAAATGTATACTCTATTTGTCCCCTACTCACTCCTTGTCCACAAAAAAAGACAAGAAATTCAAAAAAAAATAAAATAAAAATGAATGGTGGAGAAGGGGGTGGTGTACATTTGGGGTACACCTTTGGTATATCCCTAGCATTGTTCCGTAAAAAAAACATGGTCAGATCAAATGTGACTATTATTTCAAGAAATTATTCTAAATAGGAGTAAAACTTTTAGTTGTTGTTCGTTTGATTTAGTTGCATTCGTCCGTTGTTGGCATAACAAATCAAAGTTTTGTCCAAGTTATTTATCATGTTATTTTTTAGTCCTAATTTTATTGTTCTAGTTGTTCATTGGCACTCTTAATTCTCAATTTGAGAGGGAGTGTTAGGATATGTCAATGGTATGTGATAACGGGTCAAAGTAATGGGCTCATAATTTGGTCAAGATCATATCCTTGTAGCTATTATATACAACATATTTATGTTTAATGAAATCATCAAGTTCAGTTCTAATACATTTCTGGAGTAACATTTACAGGTTATGGCTAATAACAACATTTTAGTTAATATTTTAGGTTATTTTTAAACGGTACAGAGTAACTTAAAAATAGTAAAGATAAATATTGTGTTAATTAATTAACTTATTTCAAAATGTTAAAATTAAATGCAACTAAGGGTGGATCCTATCTTTGTAGATGTCAATGGGGGCAATTATCCCCGTTGAGTTTAAAAGTTTTTCTTAAGGCGATGTGTTTTCGGGGACTTGACGAGGTGTAAATGTGTATGATGTAGAATGATAAAAATGTGTGCTAGAGATGTGATGATGTGTGAATGTGTATTAAATTTTGATTGGTTAAAATTAAAAGAAAAAAGGAAACAGAAAAACCAGAGGGCAACGCCTTGAGGGCCGTCACCGCGTCAAGGGTAACACGCGCAATTATGGAAGAGGGGCGTGACGTAGGGTGGTGACGTTCTTCCTCACGCCCCATAACACACAGTCTTAAAAATATCTAAAATTTTAAAAACAAATTAGTAATGCCCCCATAAAAAGTGGCATACCTCCATAAAAAGAAATTTCAAGTAGAAAATCAAATATCTACAATTAAAATAAAAAAATTAAAATTTAATCATTTAAAATAACACAAATATAATTAGGAAATAACAATTACTCCGTATTAAGAGAAAGTAAAGCTCTAGAATGTATTTTTGAGATTTCTCATTAATTATTTGAATGCTACATTGAGTCAAAAAAATTTTCTTTTTTACATGACTATTTGGAAAAAATGTCGTAGACGCTGCCCCCGAATGCCTGTAGACATATTGCCCCCATTTTTGTGATTCAGTACCATTTCATTCATTACTTATTTACTTTTAGATGTTTCGTTTATTGAATCTTTATTTGGATTTAGAAGAAATTCATCGAAACGAAATTCAGGTTAAAAAATATATACCGTCCTACGTACCGACGGTACCGTGTTATACAAAGCCATATCGTGTCTTGTACGAAATAAGTGAAGGTTGGGAAGTACTTTTTCTGCCCCAAAAAAAATTATTCCTTTTTTGGGATGTCCCAAAAAAAACCCTCTTCTTTCTTATTTTTAGAAATAATTTTGAGTGCCTTACCATTTTTCTCTTTTATCCCAATCAAAATTTTCTCTTTTATCCCAATATTAGGCCAGGCCCAACTTACTTGTCATATTGCAGCATATTCTTGAGCGGATATATTAGGCGATCCAAACAGCAGGAGCGATCCAAGCAATTTACAGCATTTTCCGGCCCAGAGATATTAGGCGATCCAAACCAACAGGGGCCCAAATAATTCAAATGAAAAAAGCGGGAACACGTTGCCCCAAATTCAAAAGGTTGCGTCCACCTGTCACGTGTAACGTTGAGGTGTAGGGCCCACGCAGTCCCCGCTGTCTCCATCATCGTCTTCTTCCTTTTTAAATCCCCCCTTTTGCTCCCTCGCCTCTTTCCATTTCCAATCGGAGCTGAATCTTCTGCTAATTAATTCCACTCTCCCTCTCTCAGTATCTAAGGTATCTATGTTCTTCTTACACTTGTGCGATTCGATCCATTGATTTCCTGGTTGTCATGAATCTCTGCTTGTTTTACCTTATTTTAGGGTTAACTATGGCGATTTGGCTTGCTTTTATTTACCTTTTTTGTTGCGTTCATGGTTAGTTTCAGATAATTTCTGTGCATTTTGCTTGGATTTGTGGATTTGATTTTCCAACATTGTTATAGTCCTGGACTCTTACTCGTCCAGATTTCGTAGTTTTCAAATGCTGTATGTGAGAAATTTCGTCTGGAAATGGGAATGTGGTGTTTCTATTAGTAGAATTCTGAAAGTGAAAGAAGGGTTTTTTTCCTCTGGCAGAATTGAGTTGAGATCTATGATTAAGTGGAGTGCAAAAAAGCATGTTTGATCTCATTTCTGATCCATTGTTTCTTCCTAAATAAGCTCTTATACTCCCAAAGATAATCTCTCTGACCTCTAAATCATTCATTTTTGTGCTGTTGCTAAAGGTTCTAACTTTCTGATTTGTGAAACCGTGAAAACTTGTTGTGGTTTGATGTCTTAAACATTCTACATTCATTAGGTTCTGGCCAACTTGTTCATTTCCCTTTTAAATTTTGAGTTCTTGGGCTTGCTGTTTCCAGAAATGCACACGCAGAGAATGACACTATATCTGTCTATTATATGTTAATGGGATTTGTTGTGTTCAATTCTTCTGCCAAACTTTTTAAGGTTCTTTCAAAACAAAACCACAACCTCTCCGTTAGTGGTCAGATTTTATTTATCTTCAAGAACGAAATCTTCTTCACCTGCCTGCTTCCATGCTTCGAGTCTCCTTTACGGTTCTTCGTCGACAACCTCTGCCTCTTCGAGTCTCCGTCATCTTCTTCATCTGCAACGCCAACGAGCAGTGACTACCGGTGCATCGATGCTGACCAAAACAGAGCAGAAGTAGTTAATTGGGTGATTTCGTCATTAGAGGCAGTTTCAAGTAACTGGCACAAGTCATGTCACTAGGCAGGTCGTCATCTGCAGATTCAGAGGCCCCGTTACCACCAAGTATCACATTTCCAGATGACGAATGCTGTTTAACAGAAATAACAAGTCAATAATACCAAGCAAATTGAAAAGAAGAAAGTATGTATATAGGATGAAACAATATGCATTTTCCCTATCTAGTAGTCCTACCCGATCAAGTTTTTGAATTGTAAAAAGGGAACTTTAGCCCTTCGTATGTAAATTGAACGCAGTTTGAAGGTTAAAAAAAAATCTTCTGCCACACTTTTATTTTATCACTCATTCTGATTAGTCATTATGTGTTCTCTAATCCCCCCCAAAAAAGGAGTACCATATGGTGACTTGTTGATTTTCATGAGTCTGGCGAAGATTTCAGAGAAATCTTCGTGATGAAAGGAAGAAGAACGCTGAAGGTTGCAGCGTAAAAATAGGAACTGATCCAACGAGAATGAGAGAGAAAAATATCTGGCAGGATTTTTTCCAAATCAACTAAAATACAATACAAGCAAGTATTTATACTCAAGGACTCTAAGCCACATCATCTACTTGTCCAACTCAGCAAATAAGAGAAAACAAATAAAATGAGTTTATCTACTAACACCCCCCCTCAAGTTGGAGGGTGAGCCAACCCCCAACTTGGGCAATATTCGATGATGTATAGATCCTGGTAAGCTCTTAGTGAATATGTCAGCAAGTTGCGCATGAGTGGAGACATGATCAAGTATGATGAGGCCTTCTTGTAGCTTCTCGCGAACGAAATGGCAATCGAGCTCAATATGTTTGGTACGTTCATGATACACGGGATTGGTGGCTATGTAAATGGCAGCACGACTATCACACTTCACAGGAATAGGCAAGATATCAGGAACATCCAATTCAGATAAGAGCCTAGAAAGCCACGCTAATTCAGCAGTAACACGTCGTATAGACCTATACTCAGCTTCTGCAGAGCTAAGGGAAACAACTGGTTGTTTCTTAGCCTTCCAAGATATAGGGCTCCCTCCCAACATGATAAAGTATCCACTTACAGACCTGCGAGTAGTGGGACAAGCAGCCCAGTCTGAGTCACAATATGCTTCCAGTTTGAAATTAGAAGTAGAGCTGAACAATAATCCTTGAGAAGGATTGTCATTGAGATAGTGTAGAGTGTGTAAAGCTGCATTCCAATGTAATTGTCTGGGATCCTGCATGAATTGACTAAGAAACTGAG